TGTCCGTCAAGAATGACAGGGCAGGGGGGCAGGTGGGGAAGGAAGCTTGCTAACCCTAACCGTAACTGCCCCCACCCCGTCCTGCTGCTGCCTCCCAGGAGCAGGGTGGGGGGAGGTGGTAAGCTTGACTTGCCATTCCCTCCGTCCCCCTCATCGCCACCACCTCCAAGGAGCAGGGTAGGAGTGTGGGGAGGGTGAGGCCAGCGGTGCTCCGTTTGTTTCAGTAACCAGAGTGCTCCAAGAGTGTTACAGACAGACAGACAGATAGACTAAGCCCTTCATTATATTAGAATGGATTACTATTTGAACGCTTGGGGTTTACCTTGTGAATCTTGCATAAGGGTTTGCACACCTAACTGTACTAATATTATACGACACCCTGAAGCAGGAGGATCAAGGAGGGTACAATTGAGGTGGAGGTGGATTCTTACTCCACCCAAACTTTGAAACCAACTGCCTGGGAGAAATGATAGCCTTTCTATTCAGGCAAAACTGAGGGAGCTAATTGACTTAATGTGATTCATTATAATCTACCTGATTCCTGCTAATCTCCACTCCATGTGTTAATAATCCCCTCTCTCCTTTACAGAATAAGTACAAAAAATTGTGAGGTTAAGTCGGGTTAAAAATCTCCACCTGGTTTAAACTTAGCACATGCCAACCTTACACTTTCAGACCCATTCTCAGTGACTGGCAATCAGTCTAAACCTGTAACAAAACAGAAGTTCCATGCACATAAACCAGTTTAAAAATTGCAGAACTCATTTTAAGATAAACCTGGATCTATGTAGTATCAGACTTATTCAATTTAGGTCAAACTGATGCATGGAACTTCTGTCCACATCTGCACATCCCTGGGGCTGGGAAAACCTGGCCATTGGCCCTAGCCTTGGGCCAATGCCCCAGACCTCTTTTCATTCTCTTGTTCTCCTACACTGTTCTATATTTTGCACCCCCTGGCCCCTTGATCCCCCTTCAGCCCAGTGCTCAACATCGATCCCACAAGCTAGTCTGGGTGCAGAGGCTTTTATCAGTGTTCACCGCTGCCAGAGACAAGCAAATAATTCCTGGGGAGGGGTGGGAGGGATGGGGGTGTAATTTTGCTGGGGGGGAACCTCTCCATACCCCACCCACAGGTTATGCATGGCCCCCCCACCCCACCTTTGGGTCACACCTGCTACCCCTACCCAACCTATGGGTCATGACTGCCCCCTCACACCATCCATTGGTTGCGCCTCCAACTGAAGTATTGGAGGCACTGTCAAAACACTCAAGAAGATTAGATTTCATTTTTTAAATCTGAATAAGAGATGTACATGTAACTATGATGACTACAGAACTAAATGTAAACATATCTTTTTCCCTACTTTGTTTTTTAAACTTCACATATAAACTAAGAAATTATTGCACATTCCAAAATAGATATATTTATTTTTGCTTCGCTCTTAAAGTAAATAATGTAGCACTAGACTCTTTAGCATATTAGTGAAGCTTCTAGTTTTTCTTTAACTGGAGAAAAATATTTGTTGTGTTATATGTGATGACGTGCTACACATCTGCACACCCCCTTTTCAAAATCCTAGATCTGCCCATGCTCCAAAGTACCCTTAGAGGGATCACACAGCACCCCGGTTGAGAATCCCTGTTTTATACATACCACCTAAAGTGTACCTTAAAATCACACTGGCACCTGCTGTGTCAATGAAACACATAAATGCAAAAGTAACTGTGTGCTTAAAGAGAAATCTGCAACAAAATTTCCTGTTTTGCATAGAAATATATTTTATGCAACCAGTTCCATCCTGCACATCGTTGTATATAGTCCTTTTGAGTATTTGGACCTAAAATGTCCTTATTGATCAAGAGAACAACATGGAACCCAAATATTTTTGTCTTTAACTCAAAGTTATGGACCAATCCCTTTAACTTGGTAACATTCAAGGATACTATGAGATCAAATTCAGCCCTTCAGGTCTTGCACTGAATTGCATTTAACAGATTTATGCAGTGAAATATTCTAGCAACAGAACTCCAGAAAGACGACAAGCCACACACTGCTGCCCTTATCCAGCATGTCAGATGAAGCCTACATTTCTATTCATATTACCCATTTATGATGGCATATTATATTATACTTGAGCAAATAAACCTTTTCCTTCCCAATAGACCCATTCACAAGCAATTAACAATCATATAAAGGATAGCTAACTAGACAAAGATAAGCACATATATATATTTCACAATTTTCTTCTAAAGAACATCTAAAAATTATGTTACATGAAGGATGCTGGAAGGAGACAATGTAGACTAGTATGGAAATTTACATGAGGAAACAACCTGGCATTAAAAAGCTTTGCTGGCTTGTAAGTTACACAGAAGAAACCACACAGGAGACTGGTGATAAATGCTGGCAGTAAAATCTTGAGTAACATTATGAATGCTTAGTAGCATTGCTAGTCTGTTAAGTCAAGCCCAATGCTTTATGTTGTTAAGTCAAATCCAATCCCGCAGTGATAGACGTGTTGCCAGAAAATCAAGGGAAGTGATTATTTCCCTCTATTCAGGAGAGGCTGAGGGAACTGGGTTTATTTAGGGTGAAGAGGAGAAGACTGAGAGGGGATTTAATAGAAGCCTTCAACTACCTTAAGGGTGGTTCCAAAGAGGATGGAATTAAACTGATCTCAGTGGTGACAGAACAAGGAGCAATGGTCTCAAGCTGCAGCAGGGGAAGTTTAAGCTAGATATTGGGAAAAAAAATCTTACTAGGAGGGTAGTAAAACACTGGAACAGGTACCCGGACAGGTTGTGGACTCTCCATCCTTGGAGGTTTTTAAGACCTACCTAGACAAAGCCTTGGCTGGGATGATCTAGTTGAGGATGGTCCTGCTTTGAGCAGGGGGTTGGGCTAGATGACCTGAGGTCTCTTCTGTAACAAGTGGGCATGCCAGGGCTGGTCCAAACATAGGACCACTCACTTTTGTCTGGGCAAACCACCCACCTACCTCTTCTGCCACGCCTTGATGATAATGATTGATAGATCTTAAAAACATGGGAAGCTGCCTATTTACTTGCCCTGATGCTAAGGGCTGATACACACAGCTCTGACCACCCCTGCATTATGTCCCATGCCTCACAGATGACACCTGTGGCCTCACACCCAGCCTTGGTCTGTTTGGCCTAGCATCTGGCCTGCTTGTCTGGCCTAAACCCCGGCCACTCAATCACTTGGGCTCCCAGCCCTTTACTGTCCCTTAGGCTCTCAACCTGGTTCCACTCACAGCTCCCGGCACAATTTAAGGCTCCAAGTCCCCATCCCAGTAATCCTGGGCTCCAAGCCTCCCCCTACACAGGGTTCTCAGTATCCTCAAGCGTATCCCTTGCTCTATCCTGGGCTTCAATAATCCCTAATCAGTTCACCTCAGAAGCTTCTTGTATAGCTCCCCAAAGGCTCAGGGCCCTACCCCCCTGGAGCCTTACTCCTGGCTCCTGTTTGCAACCTCAGAGCTAACAGTGAGTCTGGGTGCTGCACCAGGTTCTTTCCTGACCTAGCACCCTGCCTCAGAACTCACCATGAGCCTGGGCTCTTGCTCTGTCCTTCAGGGTGTGCTCCCATAGCCTTTCCCATCCACAGGGTCACCCACAAAGCAGCAGGGGCTGAGGCTTTCTGTCACCCCATACTCACCCTTCACTGGGGAGGCCGCAGGTGTAGCATTTCCTGGAAGCTTCCCTGCCACAAGCATCCCCACTACACCATCCAACCCCATCAGGGTGTAGTTTTAGGTTATGCCCCAGGACCAGGAGCCTCCAGTCATCCCCATAACTCCTGCCCTTACCTCTAAGGTGTCACAAGCAGCAGCCCCAGCTGGGTTGTTGTTCTACTGGCTGCTAGCAGCAAATTGGTGCCAGCTTTGCTGTTCAGAGCCCCTGTTCTTACAGGGTGCAACTGGGCCCTGTTCCCAATCAGGCAATTGTGCCCAACTGGGTTTGCAGCCAGCTGCAGGCTGCCTTGCTGCTTCTCAGGCCCCTGCAAGTAACAGAGCTCACCCTGTGCTCTGTTACATCTTCCAATCCTAATTTTCTATGATTCCTATGTGGGTAGGCATGTCTTTTGTGTGTGAAGGGGCTGACACTGTGTGGGTCACCTGAAATGGAATGACTCAGTCAGCTCACCTGTGAGCACAAATCTGTGGGAAAACAAAACGAAATTGATGTTTTAGAGACAATGTATTTATTAAAATAAAAAGAGATGGGGTTGAGTGCTGGGAAACGTACTAAAACACACACTAAGCAGTATAAGTAGGAAAAACAGAAATGCCATCTAGTTTCTATTTTGTTCCTCTGATAAGAGCAATATGTCATCATGGCAGGTGTAGCACTTGCTAACAAGAACAGTCAGCAATGATTCTTTATCCATGTGGTCTCCATTTCAAACCATGTCTCACATTAAAATGTTAACATTTCTGGAGATAATCTGGGATTTTTCAAAATAGCTCAAAATTGCTATACATTCAACTCTCATTGAAAGGCCAGCATTACTTCAATATTGCTTCAAAGGAAAATCTCAAACATAAGTGCTAAATTAAAATATGGCCAGATACAAGATTAGTGGTTGTCCTACTTAATAGTTTTTTGTAGCTCTTATGTTCCGTAATCTAATTTGCAGACATGGCAAATGTTTGTAAGTGAAGATAATTGGGGAGTACTATCACTATCCCCTTTTAAAACCCTTCTCTAACGTTCAAAAAGAATGTGCCACTGGAGGATCGATCATACTGCAGCAAAATATCACCAATTTTTGTTGTTTGGCAAAATATATCTTCAGCGATGAGGTTGTTTTGAGGTTCTTAGTGCAACAAAGAGCCAGAGGCTGAGCATGGAACAGTAGTGACATGCTTCATTTTCTTTAACCTTTCTAGGGGGAAAAATGTGTATTTGTAGGAGGCAGAGGGATGGAAGTTGGCCATTTACTTCAAGCCAGCTTCAGTTCTTTCTGTACTTACTCCATTTGCTTTGCTAAGAGCCTGGAAGTAGATGCTGTAGCTTTTCAGTGGTGAGAGTGGAGCATTCCAATATCCATTGTAGGTTTTGTTGTCACCCACTGTGAAGGGTTGAGTGACTGGCAGGTTGATGGGTTTCAGCTCAGCTGCAAAGTAATGGGGTGAGTCAAGGCTGGAAGCATTCTTGTAGCTCACTGGGACAGAGAAGCACTCAATGATGTCTGCAGCCCTCCGTGCTTTCTGCAGCCTCTCTTCTTTGACAACAAGCTGATAGACACTGGAAAAAGAGGAGAGAGGAAGGGAGATAATGGAAGGCACAATTAGAATTGCACCAGTTCCAGCAGAAAAGGAGAAAACAAAACTGATGTTGAATTTAGAATATTTCATATGGAAAAAATGCCTCCGATGCAGTCTCCACATTGTATGCAGTTACTAGTTCTTTTCTGTAGTAACAGCTAAACATCACTGCTGCTTTGTGGACAAGATTTGGATAATTTACTTCATAAATTTATCACAGTTATTCCAGACATACTCTGATGAAACTGAGAAGAGATACCAGTTTTACCTCCAATATTTGTAGAACACCTTGGGTTATCCAAGGTTGAACACTGTCACAGAAATGTGCTTTTTTGTCCTAATTAAATGTTACATTTATACAGTGAAATGCATTTGAACAATGAATTTAAGTAACTATAGACATGGACAACAATAAGGCAAAGAGAGAAATGTGTTAGGAGAAGTCACAATATAGAACTATGTAGGCCAAATGGGATGATGGTTAGAAATATGTGAATTTGTTGGCAAATAATTATTCAATGATTCAATAATTATAATTATTCAACAGAAATTAACACCCGTGTCTACTGATTATTTGAAAATTTAGATCAAAATGGGCAAATATTTCCCACTCCAACCATGGCAGTCATTCTCACTTTGCCACTTTTTGGCCCAAAGACTATTTAGTAATTTCATCCAAAGGAGAGAGAGACCTATTCTGGATTGCTCTGTAAAGTACTTTTTTTTTCTGGGAAGTAAAGGATTTTGGTTCAAACCCCTGTTTCAAATCATGAAACCAGGGAATCTGAGAGCTTCCATTCTCTGGAAGACTGTCTTAGCTAGTCAAGTATATGAGGAGGAGAGGGAAACAGCAACAGCAGAATCATGGATTTGCAAATGTTGCTGGTTTCCAAATTTTCTTTGTTTAAATGTATATATTTATTTATTTATATATCACCTTTCTCAATGAAGGCTCAGGGCAGCTTATAGAAGACAACAAAATAACATAGAACAAGTGAATTAGAGAACAGAACTAGAAAAACTATTTATAAATGCCAAAAGAGAATTAAAATAAATTATATAGCAAAACCCTGATAAACAATACCTGAGCTTAGCTTTCTTTGTTTGCTAAATGCTTATCAAAATAGCAAGGGTTTACAGCACTTCTGGAAGATGTGGCTTAGGCTGTGGTGGGCCTCAAGTAGGTGGTTGTTCCAGAGCTGACAGGTGACTACTGAAAACAACCTTTCATGTATTTTTGCCAAGTAAACTTGGTGAATTGATCATACTTTACAGGAGATTTTCTCTCTTTAGGATTGCAGTAGGACATAAAAGAGAAGGGGCTCACTTAGGTACATAGGGCCCAAGCCATTAAGAGCCATATAGGTCAAAACCCACATCTTGAATTTTGCCCAGAAAGCTTTCGGGAGCCAGTGCAGACTCTGATGCACCAGAGTCATATGCTCCTGGTGACCCACCCCTGTCAGAAAGCAGGCTACTGTGTTCTTTACCAGCTGCATCTTCTGAACAATCATCAAAAGGCATGCAGCCCATAATAGTAGCCTAGCCTTCAGGTTACAAAGGCATGAATGATGGGAGCCAGATCTGAATCTGAAAGAATGGGTCACAGCCTTCTAACTAGATGGAGTTAGTGAAAGGCAGTCCTAGCCACTGCCACCACGTGGAAATCCAGGTGCAGCAGGGGATCCAGCAGCAACCCAAGGATGCAAACCTGAATGGAAAGGAGAAGCTGAAGCCCATCAATGACAAGTGTCTAAATTCTTCCCACCCACCCCTCAGATCTTGCAAACTGCCCACCATCATGATCTCTTCCTTCTCTGGCTTCAAGTGGTTCATCCACATCTAATCCCTAACTGCAGCCAGGCTGTGGGAGAAAATAGAGACTGCAGTGCCCAGGTCAGATGAGAAATTTAGAGCTGGGCATCAGCAACATGCTGATGGCACTTCACTCCATATCTCCATAGAGATAGTTCTAGAAAAAAATACTAGAAACAAAAATGCATCATTCAATCCAAAATAAACATTCTGATTAATTCAAGGTTTAAAGAAATGGTGTGAAGTTGACCCAAAATTATTTTTCCTCAATTATGGTTATCCTCCACCACTGAACCATAAGGGAATGGTTTTCATGGGCAAGAGGATCAATACTAGGTACTGGAGAGAAACATCCTTTTCAAACACTTTATGATGCTGGGTATGGATAATAGGGGTGTGCGAAGCGGGCCCTATTCGATTCAGTTTGGGTCCGAATCAGAGACAGTGATTCGATTTGTTGATTTGATTCGGCTGAATCTGAATTTGAAGATTCGATGCTGATTCAGAGAATCAGCGATTTGGACATAGACACAGCCTTAAAAGTTTTTTCTACATACCTGGAGGTACCAAGTACAGCTTGCGATTGCTGCAATGCTGGGGCACATGGAGCATCCCACAGGAGTTGGGGGGTGCCCTCCACATGCTCAGTGGTGAACCCAGAAGTCGACTGGAAGTAATTCCGGTCCACTACCAGAATCGCTGGGGAGTGTGCTGGGGGCCCCCCCTGCACCTCCCCGACTTGGCAATTGGTCACAGGTGGAAACCGGGTGCCCCCACCGACCCAGAAGGTACCCGTTGCCAAGCTGGGAGGCATGAGGGTCCCCCCCAGCGCACTCCCCGACGGACCTGGAAGTGGACCAGAAGTGCTTATGGTTCACTTCCGGGGTTGCTGATGAGCGTGCTGTGCAGCCCTCCGTGCTCCTGTGGGACGCTCCATGTGCCCCATCATCACAGAACTCACAAGCCCCTGCTACCTAGAGGTATGTAGAAAAAACATTTAATGCTGTCTCTATGTCCGAATACCCAAATCTTTCTGAATCTCTCCAAATCCATTCGAAGGGTTCCAATTTGATTTGGAGAGATTAAAGGGTCACCTGATTCAATTCGAATTTGGAGATTCAAACACCGAATCAGGCCAAATCTCAACCAAATTGAATGAGGGACTGAAGCTTCACACAGCCTTAATGGATAAGCTTATTTTAGGTGATTTACAAGAGGAGGGAAAGCTGCTGTTTGGGAGCATGCAACACCCATTACATCTGCCTGATTCTGTAGTGATAAAAGTTAGTCAACATGCCCAACTTTTGACCCTGAAGAAAGCATAGTTTTATGAATATGCAACAGCTGCATGGCATGAGCTTGCATCACTACCCTTTGATACTGATACCATTGTTACATCTATCTATACTATGTGTGAACCCAAATGAGTATAAAAATAATGCACAGATATGCAAATACGCTTTTACTTTTTCTGCTGTGTTCTTTGGGATTCTGTCCTGGAGCAGAAATACTGAGAAATAGTGCTCCCATATCCATTCTCTATGAAAAAGCATCTTCCTAATGTCCAGTAGAAAAATTTGGTTTCCTAGCAAAGCATGTGGCTTTATATCCCTATTCATATAAAACTGCTGGAAAAAAGTAGCTCCTGATATTCTTTCTAGCAATATAAACCTCTAATTCCTTTGTGAATCCTGTTAAGATTTTGACCTCAGTCTTACCTAGTTCCTGATATTTCTAGTCCAGTTTTACAAACCTGAGAAGGTTGCACAGCATCCAAATACACTTTCCTTTGTTTTCACAGACATTTAACAAAGCCCTTAAGTTCAACACTGCTACAACTGAGGCAGACACACTGACTGCTTAACATTACTCACCCATTTGACAGAGAAAGATACTACTGCAGTCATTTCACTTTTTGTCAGAGTATTCATACATGCTGCCCTCACCTGTCTATGTGAGGCTGGTTCTTTGTCTAGTTAGACAGGGGAGATCGATGCAAAGATTGGAAACAGCCAGCAGCACATCATTCTACCTGCTTTCAGAGGCTCATTGTTGCAGAAAAATTGGTTGGAAAAATTTCTAGCACAGCAATGTCTCATCAACATTTCTATGTGAAACAAAAGAACAGCAGCTAAAACAAGCCAGTGAGGTACCAAAACAAATCCATGCCTTTTGATTATTTACCATCATATTTTTAGAGGTAGCTTGGTGTATTGTCATCTAAAAGAAAGTGGGACAGGTAAGTGCTTGACAAGCTATCATGAGAGAGAACAACCTCCAAATTATAGACATAATACTGGATGATCAAAAAACATGAATCACTTTAGATTTTTATACAACTAAATGGCCCTTCTGCAAAGTGTCACAGAACACTCCCCATGCCAGTGCACAGGAGCATGCCAAGAATAAAGCAAATCTGATATGTTCTTTGGCCTGTGGATGCGCCCCCTGCCCTTACAAGTTCTTTCACTGCAGATAACTAACATAAAAGGAGAAAAACAGTAACTTCAGTACTTATAGCAAAAAGTCGGTTCACTAGTTCGTAACCAGATGTTAGAGGCAGAGTATAACTGAAGGTTAGGGCTTTACAAAGCTTTGGTCCCTGATTTGATTCAGTGAAGATTTGGCCCGATTCAGCGGCTGAATCTCCGAATCTGAATCAAATCAGAGGGCCCTTTAATCTCTCTGAATCAAATTGGAACCCTCCTAATTGATTTGGAGAGATTTGGAAAAAATTGGCGATTTGGATATAGACACAGATTTAAACTCTAAAACATAGTTGAATCCTAGAGCAACTATAAAGGATTTTTGTGAAACATTCTAAAATATTTCAAGAACTCCTTTTTTCAGTCCTTAAGGAGGGTTATATGAAATCTATCTTACACTTTTTTTGTAACACCTTTGGTATCATCCTGATGCTTTAAATAAAATCCCATCCAGGATTGAAAGCAGCTTCTGAATTGGCTACCAGAGCTAATGTACTCCCAGTCTGACATTTATTTATATCTCATGGAAAAACAGTCTCTGTATTCTTTGGAAGGAAGGAGAGGCCTCTTACCAGCCTACTCTTGGCACTGGCAATATATGTCTTAAAGTCATTTTCAGCTAAGAATGTCCCCTCTGTAAATAAAGACTTCAGTTTTTTAAACTCATGAACTAGATTCA